ATGTCTCTGCTTTTTAGTATGCTGTCTAGATTTGCCATAGCTTTCCTCCCAAGAAGCAAGCGTCTTTTAATTTCTTGGCTGCAGTCCCCGTCTGCAGTGATCTTAGACCCCAAGAAAATAAAATCTGTCACTACCTCCATTCCTTCCCCATCTATTTGCCGGTGAGTGAGAGGACCGGATGCCATTATCTTAGTTTTCTTAATGTTGAGTTTCAAGCCAACTTTTGCACTCTCCTCCTTCACTAAAGAGGCTCTTTAGTTCCTTTTCACTTTTTGCCATTAGAGAGGTATCGTCTGAATATCTGAGGTTGTTGATATTTCTCCCAGAAATCTTAATTCCGGCTTGTGATTCATCTAGTCCAGCCTTTCACATGATGTGCTCTGCATATAAGTTAAATAGGCAGCTCATGATTTCATGGCCATCATGACAACTATGGAACTGTCCCAACCAATCATTGGTCTGACACATGTGGCCCGGCATATTCTAGACTTGGTCTTCTCAGATATGAGGATGGTGTCAGATCACCTGCTAAGATTTAGACTGATGGTGGCTTTTCCCCTCTGCAAGGATAGGTGACCTATTAAGGTGATCCACCCTAGAGGCTAATAGATTTGGATAGTTTCCAGAGGACTTTGACTCATTTTCTGGCTGACATGGCTGATGCTCCTGTCGAAGCTCTAGTCGGCTGTGGAATGCAGAAATGACCCAGGCTGCTAGTATTGCTGCTAAGCATCCTCTCTGTTGTAGAGCTTAAATGTCTCTGATACATCCCAGCTCTGAGAGGGCTGCAGCAACTTAGGAGATGGCTGGAGTGCACATGGAGGAAACTCCCAGTGAATACAATAGAAAGCCTGGTATGTGCTTACATTCAAGCATATTCTGAGGCAGCAAGCGCAGCAAAGAAACAATACCTCACTGCATCTATCCAGTCTTCTCTCTGCCACCCAGTGGAGCTCTTCAAGGATGTCTGGGGCTTATTACATTCTGGTTCATGGGACACCTTGGCCCCATACCAGCCCACTATAATTTACTTACTGGACATGTCCAGGAGAAAATCTCTTACATCCATCAGGGCTTGGACTGCAGAGTTATAGCAGTTGAATCTGTGGAGATATCCAGAGCACAGCTTGGACTGGTTTTATTGGATGAATTTCAGCTGATACAGCTTGAGGATGAGGATAAAATACTCAGACAGGTTTGTGTAGCCACCTGTTTACTTGCCCCTCTTGACTCATAAAAGCCAGCAAGGAAGGAACAACCAGCTGGGGAGGGAAGTCCTTAATGTCTTCTTGCAAGAAGGAGTGGTCCGATGCTACCTTAAAGAGGTGGTGGCGAGACCACTTCTGAAGAAACCATCTCTTGACCTGGAAGATCTCAACAACTTTAGGCCAATAGCAAATAGTGCTTTCCTGGGCAAGGTTTTTGACACTCTTGGATGAAGTTGATTATCTGGATCCATTTCAGTCAGGGTTCAGACCTGGTTTTGACATGGAAACAGCCTTGGTGGCCCTATATGATGACCTATGCTGGGAGAGAGACAGGGGAAGAGCAACCCTGTTGATACTGCTGGACCTCTTGGCAGCTTTCAATACTGTCCACCATGGTATACTTCTGGGGCAACTGTCTGTGTTCGGAGTGGGTCCATCATATTGCAGTGGTTCCACTTCTCCTTGGAAGGCTGTCTCCAGAAATAGGGCTTGGGGAATATTATTCAGCCCCATGGATTCTTCAGCAGGGAATTCCTCAGGGTTGTGTTCTGCCTTCATGCTGGGTAACGTTTACATGAAAACTGCAAAACCATTTTGCCATCGGTGTGTTGCCATCATGATGTGCGTGATAACATGCAGCTCTAGTTTTCCTTTTCATCGTCAGCAGGTGAGGCTATGGAGGTGCTAAACCGGTGTCTGGCTAGGATAATGGCCTGGATGAGGGCTAACAATCTGAAACTCAATCCAGACAAGACTGAGTTGTTGTTGGTGGGCGATTCCTTTGACCAGATGTGTGTGTGTGTGTGTGGGGGGGTGTTCAACATGTTCTAGATGGGGTTGCAATCCCCCTGAAGGAGCAGGTTTGTAGTTTGGGGGTGCTCCTTGTCACTTGAGGGCCAGGTGGCATTGGTGGCATGGGGCACCTTCTACCAGCTTCAGCTGAAGGCCCAGCTGCACCCTTACCTGGACAGGAATAACCTGGCTTCAATAATCTATGCTGTGGTAATCCCTAAATTACATTACTGCAATGCACTCTACGTGGGGTGCCCCTGAAGACAGTTCAGAAGCTGCAGCTGGTGCAGAATGTGGCAGCCAGATTAAGAACCAGGACTCACAGGTCCAAATGTATAGGACCGATTCTGGCCTGCTTGCACTGGCTGCACAGATGCTGCTGGTCCCAATTCAAGGTGCTGGTTTTAATCTAAAGCCTTACGTGGCTGAAGACCACGATCCCTGTTGGAGCACCTGCCCCGACTGCAGTCTACTCAGACACTGCACACAACCTCTGGGGCCTGCCTCCGAGTGACAACTGCAAGGAAATTGCAGGTGAACCCAAGTAGGAGGGCTTTCTTGGTGGGCTTCCCCATCTAGGGAATCTGTTCCTCACTGTGATCCCGCTGGAGCCAAATCTGCCCCGAGGCCAGTTAAGAGGTCCCTCCTTGCTGAGGCCTTTAAAGACTTACTTGGCCACACAAGGACTTGGGGTGGGGGGGATCACCAGGCGTTTCACAGCGTCACTCTTCTGCCATTCCTTGTATTGTCCATTTTATTGTCTGTTTTTAGCTGTTTTAAACTTTTTTATTGATTTTTCTGATATTTTATTGTATTTTATCGTCTGTTTTATGGATTGTGTAAACCACCCAGAGAACTTGAGCTGGGGGGGGGGGGGTAGAAATGAAATAACTAATAACCAAATGAGCTTATTAAGTGACTGAAGGACCTATTTACTTTATACATCACTTTTTATTTCAGAGTCTATATCTAATCTTAGTCTAATGAGTAAGTCTAATGAAATATTTGTTTTATTGCACTGTAGTATTTTTTTTCTCTACTGTACACCATCCTGGAATCTCAAACATTACCATGGTGAAGGACAGTAATGTTTTAAATAAATACATATCCCCTTGCATTTTAGCCTCAAGCTATTGTATTTCAGCCCTGCTAAAATCCCCAGAGGCTTTTCTCCATGCAGTTACCAGCAGCAGCTATTCCAGCAGGTGGCACTGAAAGAGAGCAGAGTTATTTATTCCACCAGCCCAGCTGAAGTTCCCCTCTTCCCTCCCTGCTCCATTTTCCTTGTGTGTCCTGTCTGCTAAACCTGTAAAAGAAGAGATAACTCTATTTAAACTGTTCCCAGAGGTTTTTGAGTTTGGCTGCTCAGATAAAAATATTTTAAATAGGAATATGACTGTAGCCTTAAGGAACCTGTATGAACTATTCAGTACAGCACTCTGTTTGAAAAAATGGATCATGCCTAATTTAGATTAAACCGAGTCAACTCAAAACCAAACTATCAGCACCACATGCCCTTGGGATTTACCAAGTCATGTAATGCGACAGAAACAGCTGCCAAGTCACTACAGGTGGAGACCACCTTTAAGGTACAATCCTATACATAGTTATACAGAAAAAACTCCCACTGTTCCCAGTATCTCCCAGTTGGCATGCCTGCATGGGTGCTGTAGGCTGCCTTCTGTCTGAAAGTGTGTATTTTGACATTTCTAGAACTTGAAATGTGCTGCAGCTAATCATTATCCTTAGCATAAACCTACTGAAATGAATGGGATTTAGGTTAATTTATATCTTATTTCAACTACTCCTCTTCAAGTAGGACTAACATTGGGTGCAGGACGTTGCCCATAATTTTCTGTACTCCAACCGCTCAGCCTTTGAGACAGTTTCACCTCTACAGACAATGGTTTTAAGATGAAAGATGGCTCCAAGAAAAGATTAATGTCTGCCTTAAGTTTCCCAAACGGAATGTCAATCTGATTGGTGAGGAGTTACTTTGGCAGTGAACTTCTAGCCAGGGCTGACGTTAAACCGCATTTCCGAGCAATACAAGATCAGTACAAGTGAGGTTAGCGGCGTTAAAAGCACATCGAGAGATACAGGAACTATAGTATTTCCTCTCGTCAGCGCTGCGATCTTTTGCTGTTAAAATAGTATTGCAACATCTAAAACAAAAGTTCTGCAACGCAAGCATTTCTTGAATTCCAAACTCCATCCAAACTAGACGACACAGGGCGGAGGCAATCCGACGGCCCGACCGCTCTCGTAGTAAAAGTGTCCTCTGCATGCGCCGATATCCTGCGTATTCGGAGTTCTCAGCTCAAAGGTTCAATTGCATCCCAGACTTTCAAACTGCAATTCTTGAACCTATTTTCAGTGTCAAGATTCTGTACAGGAAAAAGGCTGCCCTTGAGCATGTGCAGAGAGCACTTCGGCGCCGTCACCGGAGCGAGCCTGGAGGAAAGAATGGATTTGCCTCGGAGACAGACTTTACTCGTGGCGGTCATCCATTAAGTTGCATCAATTTTCTGCTGATCTAAATCCTCTTAATTTCAATGGCTCTACTTTGGGGAGGACTCCCACGGACGACAACGCCCGCGTTGCTTTGCGGAGCCCTTGCAGGCGCAGCAGAAGGGACTCGAGCCGGGCGCTCGCAGAGGAGGCTGCCCCGTGGCTCCGGCCTGCGCTCCCCAGCCAAGCTCCAGCGTGGAGGCGCGGCGCGGCCCGCCTCCCCCTTCGGCTCCGAGCAGGCGCCCGAGCCCCGCCCGCGCGAAAGGGGAGAGACTCCGTCTTTCTCCCGCCCCACGTCTAGCTGCGAACGAGGAAGAGAAAGGTCTCGGGCCGCCAATCAGAGGGCGCGCGAGAGGCGGGGCCGCGCTCGCGAGCGGTTGCATTGGGCTGAAGTGCACGTGCCGGGCGGGGAGGGCGAGGTATGTTAGCGCTTGACTGTCCATCACTGGAGCTGCGGTCAGGTCAAGCGCGGGAGGAGGAAGAGCGGGCGGGGGTGTGAGCGAGTCCCGGGCAAGCCGCACGGCGGGATGGCCGAAGCAGCGCGGATTCCCCACAGGACCACGGGTTCCACCCTCCTGCTCCCGCTCAGCGACTTCCTGGGCATCCCGCTGGACCAGGTGAGGTTAACTCTGCTAAGTTTGTTCTTGCTCATACTGTTGCCTGAAGGATATGACTGTGTGTCGCAAAAGGGAAAGGAACGCGACTGTGGTGTTGCAGGTGATAGAAAGCTGGAGTGCTCTCCGTTTGATTTTGAAAAAAGAGAAATTAAGGATTTGGGGTGATTTTTCTTTGCATTTCTTGCGGGCATTTCTTTCACCTGCTGAAAGAAGCGTGACTTTCTAGGGCAGAATGTTAAAGTTATCCCTTGACAGAGAGTAATGTCATGCTCAAACTCTACCTTTGTGTAGGGTTCTCATCCCTTTCTTTACCATTGCAGCCTGACTGTACGAGCTATTCAGCGGTACGTGGTTGAGTTCAGTGGTTGGGTTCAAATAGGATTGCACTGTGCAGAGTATGGCATTCTGCGCTTGCATTCTCAGTGGTGAGTAGCTTGGAAGTGCATGGTTTCAGAAGTTTGGTTTATCTGTGTGCATTATTGCAACATCCATTTTCCCCTAATAGGCCAGGATCCACAATGTTCACAGACCAAGAGAAGGTGGGTCACACCAGCGGCATAACCAGCAATTTATTTTGGTATGTTTCTAGTTTTCTTTGAAGGGGTAATCACAAGGTGTACCTGAAAGATGGGAATGTAGAGGGATGTAAGGGATGAGGAAGACAGATAACCAGCAATGCTAATAAGCTGACCTGAAGAAAACTATTTCATTCAAAACATGATGCTGGAGGAGAGCTTTGTGAATACCCTGGACTGGACAGAATGCCAAACAAGTGGTCCTAGATCAAGTCAAGCTAGAACTTTTCCTAGAAACAAAAATGACAAAACTGAAGCTGACATGCTTTAGATACATCATAAGAAGGCAAGGCTCCCTGGAGAAGACAAATTTGTTTCAGAAAATCATCAAAGGCAGAAGACCAGAGAGAAGACCAAATGTGGGATGGATTGACTCTATAAAGGAAATCATAGCCTTGAATTTACAAGAGCATTTTGGAGGGCATCCATTCATAGGGTCACCAGAAGTCAGAGATGATTTGGGCACATTAGAACAAGTCATGTAGCATGTTCAGTCAGGAGGGTGGAGGGAGACTATTACAAACCAAAATAACAAAAGAGATGACCCTCACAAGGTACTGCAGAAGTATTACGACTTATTTATAAAAGGAATCCCAATTTCTCTTCTTAATGCCTAATGGATTTTGAGGTTCTCCCAAAAGGCAGAAAGGTCCTTCACTAAGGAGACAAGAAGTAACCACCAACAATTTTTCTCTTCTGGTATACTTTTTTGGGTTGGTGATGGTAGGAGGGGGGAATTAAAAGTGGGTCCCCATCTGAAAAGATTGATGGTTGATCATTGTTAGAAGACAGAGTGGGACAGATTAATTTGAGCAGGAGGCCCAGTCCCTGAGCACAAGTGAACGGGAGTGTGCTGTTGGATGGCTGATATTAAAGAACAAAGTGCAGGAAATAACAGTTAAAAGGGGAGAAGTATTGTAGTTGTGCATCGTTTCCTATGGCAACTAAATTGAAACCAAGCCTATAACTGAAGTCATACCAAGCACAACCTTTCCTTGTTTACTCTCACCTGGTACTTCCTCCTTTTTGCTTTTCTTGGATTGAAGGTGAACAGCTTGGGGCAAGGATTTTCTTGATTTTCCTCTGTAAAGGCATGCACATGTTGACAGCGAGGCAAACCCTAACTTTTCCCCTGCATGGAGTGGGATTGTGATTTCTGTTGCTTCCATAATCTTCTAGGTTAGACAGATAGGGTGCAAGTTGATGAAAGCATCCTATACATGCCTACTGAAAAGCAAGTGTTTTCTGTGGTGCTTACTCCCAGGTCAGTATTTGTAAATTTAATTTATTTTAAATATTTTGACCACTTTTCTAGATAAAAGCCTCTCAAGGTTGTATAGATCTATATAAACTAAAACTTTAAAACACAACATTCCACTGAGAGCAACTGATGTGGGATTGAATGCACTGAAGTATTTACATTCTTTAAAAGTATTTTCATCCTCTTCTCATTGTGCACATTTTTTTTTAATTAGGATGTGCCTGTCATGTTGAAAGGGCCTTCTTCCCAGGTAGATTGGCAGATGCAGACTTACTTGGGACTAATTCTCACTGAATTTCCTGTAATTTTCCTTAAAGCTACTATTTACCTTTTTGTTTTTGTTTTTTACACTGAAGCACCTTACTGGAAAACAGGTTAGTCTGTTAAAGTTGAGCAGGTGACTTGTGCATTGACCTAGACTTGAGCCTGGGTGAGTTTATTTTCAGAAGTTTTTATTTTGATGTATCCATTACTTAAAGTCCTCCTGAACTACTACTCTGAATCAGATACCAATGCATATCTTTGTCAGGGTAACTCAAAAGTGATAACTTGAGGTTTAAAAGATGATTACAACTCAGTGCTGAGATTGGTAGACCTGAAATTTGATCTCACAGACAGTCTAGTCGTACACGTTTACTCAGAAAAAAATCCCCACTCATTGGTATTACGCATACTCACAAGTAAGTGTTAATCACACTGGAGCATTTGTATCCACCATGGCCCAAGCCCTTCCCTTGCCTGAGTTGAGTTGGGTTTGTTAGAACAGTTCAGCTGATGAGTCATAAGTGTGATGCAATAAGAATGTATTTAAATGTTACACCCTGTAATGCATTTTCTGATACAGCAGTGTTTTTGCACTTAGATGAATTGTTTATGTCACTCTGAAAATCATGGGCAGATAAGCTGTTTCACTGACAAAATACTTGTAGATTGGGTTTTGTTTGCCACATAGCTCAGAATTACACTGAGTAGGGAGACTTGCATTTGTAAGCAAAGGGTGCACTACCACCTCTCAGTTGGGCTTGGTTGGAGACACAGTTTCCACAGCTTGATGACAAGTAAATGCCAAGTTTATGCAGCAAGTGCAGTCTCTGATTGCCCCCTCTGCGGCAGCCTCGGAAGGTGGCGACAGGGAGAAGGGCCTTTCAAGCGGTGGCCCCCCCAGTTATGGAATGCGCTCCCCACTGAGGCCTGCCTGGTGCCAACTTTACTACCTTTTTGTACCAGATAAAGGCCACCCTCCTTCATTAGAACATTTAATTAGTCACTGGCGACCGCTGGTTGTTAGATAGGGTTTAATTGGGTCTTTTTAATGTATATTTGTGGGTTTGTTTTTTATTTGGTTTTAAATTTTTATACCCTACTTTTAATGATTTAATATGTTTTAATTGGTATATTTTATATTGTTTTTAAATATGCTGCTGTGAAATGTCCGGAGAGCCTCAGCTGTTGGGTGGGATAAAAAAATAAATAAATAAAAAGTTGCAGTAAATATTAAACTAAATATTTTGAGAGTGTTTTAAGATGGAATTTTAATATTAAAGCTGCTCTGCTGACTTTGGGTGCACTTTTAGTGAAAGCTTTTATTATGCAATTGCTGGATTTCATTTATGGAATCTTATGGCGCGGGATCCAGGTATTGCCCATTTCCACTGTAGGCCTCCTGCATTTTCCTACTACTGCTTCCATCCTTTCCTCCCCTTTCTATAGAATACAACTTTTTAGGAGGGAAAGATGTATAGCCACAAAATATTGATGGGTCGTGCTAGGAGCCCTTCGTCTGAAAGCACCTTTTGTGATCATATTATGTCAGCGTTGTCATATAAGTTTTTTAAACAGTTGCTTGGATGAGGCTTAGTCTACCTCTATTAAAACAACAACAACCAGTTTCCTTCAGCTCAGAGACTCAGAGGTCAACCAATCTACTCATTTCTGTCTAGTGTGCTTATTTACAGGGGCTTTGAGTGTACATTTCTGTAATGCTTCAGGATTATTTATTTGATGCAAGACCCAGTTTGTAGGAGCAACAGAAGTTTTTGCAGAGAAGTTCTGTGATAAGATACTGGAATTAGGTTACCACAAAATCAAGTGCAGCTGGATGGCGGATACTGGGTGTTGTAGTCCAACAGACAAGTCAGTGAAGATTGAGCCAGTGTATCAAAGCCTTTTACATCACCAAGTATTGAGCTGGGAAGTTGGGGTACAGTTTAGTTGTGATGTGAGATGCAGAGCCCTGGTCTGATATGTTTGAGTGCTCATTGGAGGTTTGCCCTTGTTCTGGTGGCAGCAAGAGAAATTAACCTTTTCCTGTTGGTATCTTTCAGCCATGCTTCACTTTCTGTATTTCCTGCAGTAAAAAGGAAGTTTGTGGCTATCAGCAACTGTTTGCCATCCCAATGGAAAACACTGGATTCCACTGTTTAGATCATTCTGCAAGATTGGGCTGACTATAGTCCTGCTGGATCTAAATAATAATAATAATAATAATAATAATAATAATAATAATAATAATTAGTGCCCTCATGTCCAATGGATGTATTTTAAATTGCTCAAAGAATTAATGGGTTCTCTAAAAACCATTTCACGGATTTATGTTATCATACAGGATATAAGTAGCTTAAATAATACATAAAAATTAAGGAATAACTGATCTGTGTTAAGTGGACCAGGGTATGCACTCCTGCTTAAGACCATAGGAAACATTTTGTTAGAACAGACTAATGTCTATTTAAGGTGCAATTCTATGCATATTTAGAAGGAAACCCCCCCCCCCCCGACAATTCCCAGCTTTTTTTAACTATGAAAAAGCCCAGTAAGTGCTGAGTGGTTTATCAGAAATTCAGTTTATGCTAACTTTGCTCCCTCTTAACCAGAACTTTATTTCAGTGGGATTGTTTTTAAGATAAATAAAGATACAATGTTATTTATATGGTCCATAAAACACAGGGACCATGTAATTTGTTGCTTGTTATTAGGAAAACCAACTGAAAAAATCCTTCCTTCTTGCACTTGCTCTCCAAAATAACATAATAATCCTTTTCAGGGCTATCATAGTTGGGAGTCTTGAAAGTAATGTATCCTCTCTTTGTTTATCTGGTACGGAGGTATTTGCAGATGCAGCTCTGAGAACTGCAAAATAAAGTACCAGTTATGACGGTGAAGCT